TTAAAACATGGTCTTGAGTTTTGATTATAGTGCGCTGATCTTTAAAGGCGCATTCAAAACAATATTGATACTGCTACTGATGGCTCATGTTGTTATGGAGCGACTCATGCAGCCAGCCGTGGCTGAAAAGTTTGGCAGCACATGTTACGTGTGGATCGCTTATTGTTAAGTTTCAATCACAGTTCCTACGGTCACCGCTGTTTTAACCGCTTTATTTTGGTGGTTTTTGAAGACGCTTTGGTTTTAGCCACGTTTGTTTGTTGTAGAAACATAGTTAGCCTGCTAACTTTAATCTAAATTCGCATTTGCGGTTGTTATTGCTTGACTTGCATCCCGCTGGGATTTTCGCGCACAGCGTTGAAAAGCGGTGCTTTTTCCGCAAGATTTTTGCTGTTTTTGCCCTGGATTTTTCTGTTTGCGCGCGGCCACTTTAAGATCTTTCTTGTTCGTGTTTTTGTTTGTTGCGGTTGTAGCGAAGTCAGGAGCCGCATGGCTCACAGGGTTATACCTCACACATGGAACTCAAAAACCACTACTACCTACTACTATTACCACTACTACCTCTACTACTACCTACTACTATTACCACTACTACTACTATCACTACTACTACCAAGACTACTATTAGCGAAGTCACGAGCCGCATGGCTCACAGGGTTATACCTCATACATGGAACTCAAAAACCACTACTAATACCTACTACTATTACCACTACTACCTCTACTACTACTATCACTACTACTACCACTACTACTATTACCACTACTACCACTACTACCTCCACTACCACTACTACTACCTCCTACTACCACTACTACTACCACTACTATCACTAATACTACTACCACTACTACTATTACCACTACTACCTCTACTACTACCACCACTACCTCCTCCTACTACTACTACCACTACTACCTCTACTACTACCACTACTACTACTACGACTACTACCACTACTACTACCTCCTACTACCACTACTACTACTACCACTACTACTACCACTACTACTACCACTACTACCTCCTACTACCACTACAACTACTTCCACTACTACCATTACTACCACTACTACCTCTGCTATCACTACTACTACCACTACTACTACCTCTACTACCAATACTACTACTACCTCCACTACTACTACTACTACTTCTACTACTACCACTACTACTACCACTACTAACACTACGACCTCCACTACTACTACCTCTACTACTAACACTACTACTACCACTACTACTACCTCTACTACTAACACTACTACTAACACTACTACTACCACTACTACTACCTCCTACTACCACTACTACTACCTCCACTACTACTACTACCACTAACACTACGACCTCCACTACTACCACTACTACTATTACCACTACTACCACTACTACCACTATTACTACTACCTCCTACTACCACTACTACTACTACCACTACTACTATTACCACTACTACCACTACTACCACTATTAATACTACCTCCTACTACCACTACTACCACTACTACTACTACCACTACTACTACCACTACCACTACTACCACTACTACTACTACCACTACTACCACTACTACCTCTACTACGACCACTACTACTACAACCATTACTACCACTACTACTACTACCACTACTACTACCACTACTACCTCTACTACCACTACTACTACTACCACTACTACCACTAACACTACGACCTCTACTACTACCACTGATGATGACACTGCTGCTGATGATGACACTGCTGCTGCTGTTAATGATGATGATCCTGCTGCTGCTGATGACACTGCTGCTGATGATGATGACTGCTGATGACACTGCTGCTGATGATGATGACACTGCTGATGATGATTATGACACTGATGATGACACTGCTGATGATGATCATGACACTGATCATGACACTGCTGCTGATGATGACACTGCTGCTGCTGATGACACTGCTGATGACACTGCTGCTGCTGATGATGACACTGCTGATGATGATCATGACACTGATGATGATGACACTGCTGCTGATGATGACACTGCTGATGATGATGACACTGATGATGATGATAATGCCACTGCTGATGATGATGATGATGATACTGCTGCTGATGATGATGACACTGCTGATGATAATGATGATGACACTGCTGCTGCTGATGATGACACTGCTGATGATGATGACACTGCTGCTGATGATGATGACACTGCTGATGATAATGATGATGACACTGCTGCTGCTGATGATGATGACACTGCTGATGATGATGACACTGATGATGATGATGATGATAATGCCACTGCTGATGATGATGACACTGCTGCTGATGATGACACTGCTGATGATGATGACACTGCTGCTGATGATGATGACACTGCTGATGATAATGATGATGACACTACTGATGATGATGATGACACTTCTGCTGATGATGATGACACTGCTGCTGCTGATGATGACACTGCTGATGATGATCATGACACTGATGATGACACTTCTGATGATGATCATGACACTGATGATGACACTGCTGCTGATGATGACACTGCTGCTGCTGATGATGACACTGCTGATGACACTGCTGCTGCTGATGATGATGACACTGCTGATGATGATCATGACACTGATGATGATCATGACACTGATGATGATGACACTGCTGCTGCTGATGATGATGACACTGATGATGTTGATAATGCCACTGCTGCTGCTGATGATGACACTGCTGATGATGATCATGACACTGATGATGATCATGACACTGATGATGATGACACTGCTGCTGCTGATGATGATGACACTGATGATGTTGATAATGCCACTGCTGCTGATGATGATGACATTGCTGATGATAATGATGATGACACTGCTGCTGATGATGACACTACTGATGATGATGGTGATGACACTGCTGATGATGATGACACTGCTGATGATGATGACACTGCTGATGACACTGCTGATGATGATGCCACTGCTGATGATGATACCGCTGATGATGATGATACTGCTGATGATGATGACACTGCTGATGATGATGACACTGTTGCTGATGATGACACTGTTGCTGATGATGACACTGCTGATGATGATGACACTGCTGATGATGATGACACTGCTGCTGATGATGACACTGCTGCTGATGATGATGACACTGCTGCTGATGATGCTGATGACACTGCTGATGACACTGCTGATGCTGATGATGCTGATGATGATGCTGCTGATGATGATGTTACCACTGCAGGCATCTTGTCGGTGCTGTCGCTGGCGTCGCAGGCGATGTCGCTGGCTGCCGAGCTCCCCAAGGTGTCCTACCTGCTGCTGATGATGATGATGCTGATGATGATGCTGATGATGATGATGCTGATGATGATGATGATGTTACCACTGCAGGCATCTTGTCGGTGCTGTCGCTGGCGTCGCAGGCGATGTCGCTGGCTGCCGAGCTCCCCAAGGTGTCCTACCTGCTGATGATGATGCTGATGATGCTGATGATGATGATGATGCTGATGATGATGATGTTACCACTGCAGGCATCTTGTCGGTGCTGTCGCTGGCGTCGCAGGCGATGTCGCTGGCTGCCGAGCTCCCCAAGGTGTCCTACCTGCTGATGATGATGATGATGATGCTGATGATGATGATGTTACCACTGCAGGCATCTTGTCGGTGCTGTCGCTGGCGTCGCAGGCGATGTCGCTGGCTGCCGAGCTCCCCAAGGTGTCCTACCTGCTGATGACACTGCTGATGATGATGATGCTGATGATGATGATGCTGATGATGATGCTGATGATGTTACCACTGCAGGCATCTTGTCGGTGCTGTCGCTGGCGTCGCAGGCGATGTCGCTGGCTGCCGAGCTCCCCAAGGTGTCCTACCTGCTGATGACACTGCTGATGATGATGCTGATGATGATGTTACCACTGCAGGCATCTTGTCGGTGCTGTCGCTGGCGTCGCAGGCGATGTCGCTGGCTGCCGAGCTCCCCAAGGTGTCCTACCTGCTGATGATGATGCTGCTGATGATGATGCTGATGATGATGCTGATGATGATGCTGATGATGATGATGTTACCACTGCAGGCATCTTGTCGGTGCTGTCGCTGGCGTCGCAGGCGATGTCGCTGGCTGCCGAGCTCCCCAAGGTGTCCTACCTGCTGATGATGATGATGCTGATGATGATGCTGATGATGATGATGCTGATGATGATGATGTTACCACTGCAGGCATCTTGTCGGTGCTGTCGCTGGCGTCGCAGGCGATGTCGCTGGCTGCCGAGCTCCCCAAGGTGTCCTACCTGCTGATGATGATGCTGATGATGATGATGATGCTGATGATGATGATGTTACCACTGCAGGCATCTTGTCGGTGCTGTCGCTGGCGTCGCAGGCGATGTCGCTGGCTGCCGAGCTCCCCAAGGTGTCCTACCTGCTGATGATGATGCTGATGATGATGATGCTGATGATGATGTTACCACTGCAGGCATCTTGTCGGTGCTGTCGCTGGCGTCGCAGGCGATGTCGCTGGCTGCCGAGCTCCCCAAGGTGTCCTACCTGCTGATGATGATGATGCTGATGATGATGCTGATGATGCTGATGATGATGATGTTACCACTGCAGGCATCTTGTCGGTGCTGTCGCTGGCGTCGCAGGCGATGTCGCTGGCTGCCGAGCTCCCCAAGGTGTCCTACCTGCTGATGATGATGATGCTGATGATGATGCTGATGATGATGATGCTGATGATGATGGTGTTACCACTGCAGGCATCTTGTCGGTGCTGTCGCTGGCGTCGCAGGCGATGTCGCTGGCTGCCGAGCTCCCCAAGGTGTCCTACCTGCTGATGACACTGCTGATGATGATGATGATGCTGATGATGTTACCACTGCAGGCATCTTGTCGGTGCTGTCGCTGGCGTCGCAGGCGATGTCGCTGGCTGCCGAGCTCCCCAAGGTGTCCTACCTGCTGATGACACTGCTGATGATGATGATGATGCTGATGATGTTACCACTGCAGGCATCTTGTCGGTGCTGTCGCTGGCGTCGCAGGCGATGTCGCTGGCTGCCGAGCTCCCCAAGGTGTCCTACGTGAAGGCGCTGGACATTTGGCTCATTGCCTGCCTCGTCTTTGGGTTTGCCTCCCTTGTCGAGTTCGCCATCGTGCAGGTGGTGGCCTCGTCACGTGCTCGCCTCGTCACTCACCTCGTCACTCGCTCACCTCGTCGCTCAACTCGTCACTCACTCACCTCGTCACTCACCTCGTCACTCACCTCGTCACTCGCCTCGTCACTCACCTCGTCACTCACTCACCTCGTCACTCAACTCGTCACTCACTCACCTCGTCACTCACCTCGTCACTCACCTCGTCACTATTACCACCACCACCACCATCACCAGCATCACCACCACCATTACCACCACCACCACCATCACCAGCGTCACCAGCATCACCATCACCACAATCCCCTTCACCACCATCACATGACCATCACCACCATCACGTGACCATCACCACCATCACGTGACCATCACCACCATCACGTGACCATCACCAGCATCACGTGACCATCACGTGACCATCGCCAGCATCACGTGACCATCACCAGCATCACGTGACCATCACCACCGCAAGGTCCCCCGTCACCCCAGGTGTTTGTGAACAGCCCCAAGCGCCATCACCACCATCACGTGACCATCACCAGCATCACGTGACCATCACCAGCATCACGTGACCATCACGTGACCATCAACCACCATCACGTGGCCATCACCAGCATCACGTGACCATCACCACCTCAATGTCCCCCGTCACCCCAGGTGTTTGTGAACAGCCCCAAGCGCGTGGCCGCCGAGAAGATCCGCAAGGAGCGGCTGGCCAAGATCAAGAAGGAACAGATGGAGGCGCTGGGCCCTCGGCCCACACACGGAGGGGGAGGAGGGGGGGGCGCCCCCCCCCCCCAGCTCGTCGGCGCCCGCCCCCCCGGGCGGTGCCACGGGACCACCGGGGCCCCCCGCGATTTGCGGGGGGCCCAGCGGGGCCACGGAGGAGCGGGTTTGGTCGGTGTCCACGCGGAGGCTGCGGGGAGGTCCGGCCAACGGGACCCCCACAGCCGACGGGAACTCCGCTCGGGTCAGAGGGAGCAGTGGCATATACACTACACTGTACACTACACTGTACACTACACTGCACACCACACTGTACACTACACTATACACCACACCACACACTACACTGTACACGACACGAAACACTACACTGTACACTACACTACACACTACACTGTACACTACACTGCACACCACTACACTGTACACCACACACCACACTGCACACTACACTGTACCCTACACTGTACACTACACTGCACACTACACTGTACACTACACTATACACTACACTGTACACTACACTATACACCACATCACACACTACACTGTACACTACACGACACACTACACTGTACACTACACTGCACACTACACTGTACACTACACTATACACCACACCATACACTACACGATACACTACACTGCACACTACACTGTACACTACACTGTACACTGCACTGTACACCACTACACACTACACTATATACTACACACTACACTATACACTACACTGTACACTACACTATACACTACACACTACACTGTACACTACACTATACACTACACTATACACTGTACACTACACTGTACACTGCACTGCACACTACACTATACACCACACTGTACACTACACTCTACACTACACTACACTACACACTGCACTACACTATACACTACACTATACTATACACTACACTATACACTACACCATACACTACACTGCACACTAAACTCTACAATACACTATACACTACACTCTACACTACACTATACACTACACTATACACTACACTATACACCACTACACACTACACTCTACACTATACACCAGTACACACTACAGTATACACTACACTATACACCACTACACACTACAGTATACACTACACACTGCACTATACACTACACTATACACTACACTATACACTACACTGTGTACTACACTTTACACTGAACTATACACTACACTATACACCACTACACTATACACTACACTATACACTACACACTACACTATACACGACACTATACACTACACTATACACTACACTATACACTACACTAGTGTACACTAGTGTAGTGTACACTAGTATACACTACACTAGTATACACTACACTAATAAACACTATACTAGTGTAGTGTACACTAGTATACACTACACTAGTGTACACTACACCAGTATACACTACACTAGTATACACTACACTAGTGTACACTACACTAGTGTAGTGTTTATTAGTGTAGTATACACTACACTAGTATACACTACACTAGTGTAGTGTACACTAGTGTAGTGTACACTAGTATACACTACACTAGTGTACACTACACCAGTATACACTACACTAGTATACACTACACTAGTGTACACTACACTAGTGTAGTGTTTATTAGTGTAGTATACACTACACTAGTGTACACTACACTAGTGTAGTGTACACTAGTATACACTACACTAGTGTACACAGACGAGCTCCTTCTGGGGAATTCCCCGTCGTTCCCAGGCCAGCCGAGCGGCGTCGTCCTGCTCCGTCCCCGGGGCTCTCCGCCCGGTGGGCCGGCGCTGCCCCGGTAGGGGGGCATCCTCAGCGGGTGCCCAAACCAAAATCTCGACCGGCTCCTCTCGATCCTCGTTTCGGTAGCGGCCTCCTCCGTTTCGGTCGTCACCACAAAGGTCCGCGTAGGAGAGAGCGTGGGACGAGTCGACGGGGCTGCAAATACCCCTCCCCCCCCCCGCCCCCCCCCCCCCCGAGGGAGAGAGAGCGCTCCACTTGAGATCTCGCCTCCCGCACGGCACCCGCAAAGCAGCGTGGACGCCGCCGCTCCGATCCGCCGGCCGATCTCCCGCTCCCACTTGCCTCCGTGGCTCGCGGGAAAGAGACCCCCGAGGTTTACTTAGGCCCCTCCGGTCCGAGGGCTGCTTCATCCCGCCCTCGGCGCACTCCACCGTCTCCCGGCTAGAGTGAACGGTGGCCTCGGATTTTGAGGTTTTGCCGAACCGCAGCCGTCGCCGCGTTCACGCTTTGGCATCGAACCGTTTCGGAAGTGCCGGATTAGCCTAGCGGCAAAAGTGTCTACATATGTCGTAGCTACATATGTAGTAGCTACATATGTAGTAGCTACATATGTAGTAGCTACATATGTAGTAGCTACATATGTAGTAGCTACATATGTAGTAGCTACATATGTAGTAGCTACATATGTAGTAGCTACATATGTAGTAGCTACATATGTAGTAGCTACACGTGTAGTAGCTACACATGTAGTAGCCACATATGTAGTAGCCACATATGTAGTAGCCACATATGTAGTAGCTACATGTGTAGTAGCTACATGTGTAGTAGCTACATGTGTAGTAGCTACTACATATGTAGTAGCTACACATGTAGTAGCCACATATGTAGTAGCCACATATGTAGTAGCCACATATGTAGTAGCCACATATGTAGTAGCCACATATGTAGTAGCTACATGTGTAGTAGCTACATGTGTAGTAGCTACATGTGTAGTAGCTACACGTGTAGTAGCTACACATGTAGTAGCTACACATGTAGTAGCCACATATGTAGTAGTCACATGTGTAGTAGCTACATGTGTAGTAGCTACATGTGTAGTAGCTACATGTGTAGTAGCTACATGTGTAGTAGCTACATATGTCGTAGCTACATATGTCGTAGCTACATATGTAGTAGCTACATATGTAGTAGCTACATATGTAGCTACTACATATGTAGTAGCTACATATGTAGTAGCTACATATGTAGTAGCTACATATGTAGTAGCTACATATGTAGTAGCTGCTACATATGTAGTAGCTGCTACATATGTAGTAGCTGCTACATATGTAGTAGCTACATGTGTAGTAGCTACATATGTAGTAGCTACACATGTAGTAGCCACACATGTAGTAGCCACATATGTAGTAGCCACATATGTAGTAGCTACATGTGTAGTAGCTACATGTGTAGTAGCTACATGTGTAGTAGCTACATGTGTAGTAGCTACACGTGTAGTAGCTACACATGTAGTAGCCACATATGTAGTAGTCACATGTGTAGTAGCTACATGTGTAGTAGCTACATGTGTAGTAGCTACATGTGTAGTAGCTACATGTGTAGTAGCTACATATGTCGTAGCTACATATGTCGTAGCTACATATGTAGTAGCTACATATGTAGTAGCTACATATGTAGTAGCTACATATGTAGTAGCTACATATGTAGTAGCTACATATGTAGTAGCTACATATGTAGTAGCTGCTACATATGTAGTAGCTGCTACATATGTAGTAGCTGCTACATATGTAGTAGCTACATATGTAGTAGCTACATATGTAGTAGCTGCTACATATGTAGTAGCTGCTACATATGTCATAGCCACATATGTAGTAGCCACATATGTAGTAGCCACATATGTAGTAGCTACATATGTAGTAGCTACATATGTAGTAGCTACTACATATGTAGTAGCTACTACATATGTAGTAGCTCCTTCCAATGATCGCTCAGTTTGTACCCATCTTCTCTGTTGAAATTGTCTGTGTCCCTATATATGGGTGGCTTCGTGAACGAATCTTTGTTGATAGCCAGTGGGCTTGCAAAGTGCCTTCTTCTCGTCATTTTTCGTTATTTTCTTCGTGACTTTACCAAAAGACCCAAGAATACAATTGCTTTACTCTGCAAGTTAAACATTTCTGTTCTGATATTTACGTGTTTTTTTATTTTTTTATTTTTTTAAATTTAGGGGCCCCGTTGTAACAACGTACGCTATACGGGCCCCGCGCTAGCTTCATCCGGCACTGCGTTCAGGCGAACTCGCCGGAGGTCGCAGCCCTACGAGGCGAAGGGGGACAACGCCGTCTGTGCACAGCAGCGACGCCACCTCACGTGGACCTCCCGCACCGGGTTACTCTCCTCCCGCGTACCTCGGGCGCGCCTCGATATCCCGTCCACGAACAGATCGCGCACGGCGAGCGAAGGCGAGATGCAACCCCATCGGCGGAGCCGAGCGGCCCGCGGGCGAATGAATCGACGCTCTCGGTAGCACACGGAGGTGGGCCGGGCTACGTTACGCGATCCCACCGCCGACGCCTCCCTTCGTAGACACCGCGGGATGGAACACGCGCGCCCTCTCCGAAGCCTACGAAGCGGAGGCATGGACACCTCGTGCGTCCGCGAGAGGGCACGAGATCTGCTCCGTGGTTCCACGACCGTGACGGGGATCCCCGTCACGCTCGTCCTGAATCGGAGGCTCGAACCGCCCCCCGGTGTAGTAGGAGCCGCCACTCCAGCACTCTGCCACCTGCGAGGCCGAGGAGTGCGATTCCTCCGTATGCTGGCGTGCACTCACACACCCACTGGGCCTATCCCCTGTTTTAAAAAAAAAACAAAATCAAGCCAGCCACAACCCCAGTTTGACCAATCCAGGGGTACTGCACTCGCCTTCCGTGCGGCATTCATAGGGGGGGGAGGGGGTCAATGGAGGCGGTGGGGTCAATGAGGGGGAGGGGTCAATGAAGGGGGAGGTCAAAGAAGGGTAGAGGTCAATGGTGGGGGAGGGGTCAATGGTGGGGGCGGGTCAATGAGGGGGAGGGGTCAACGGAGGGGGGTTAATGGGGTGAGGGAGCCGGAGAGTGGAGGTGGTGGTACTGGAAGAGGAGGAGGAGATTGAGGAAGAGGTGGAACATTTGTCAGCTGTTTCTACATCCGCCCACACCTCCCCCCCAACTCCGCCCCCCACCTCCTCCCCTCCCCCCCTCCCCCCCATACTCCCCTCTCCTCCCCCCACCCCCTTCCAGTCCACCGCCCACTGCCGCCTTCAACGTCACAGTCCGACCTCCGTGCCCACGACTCAGATGGCTCACTCTGAGATGACGTCCCACTCACTCTCCTCCCCCTTCCCCCCACCTCCCCCCCACACCCCCTCCCCTCCCCCCCCCCCCCCACCTCCCCCCCACCCCAACCTTCTCCAGGCCGCCGCCCGCCGCGCCTTCCCGTCGCGCTCCGACCTCCGCGCCCACGACTTCAGCATCGTGGGCAGCCTCCCGCGGGACTTCGACCTCACCAACTACGACTGCTACGGCAAGCCCGTGGGGGGCGCCCTGGGCCCCGCCGGCGCGGGGGCCGGCGGCAACGCCGCCGCCGGGGGCGCCCCCAAGAAGCCGCCCCCAGCCAAGCCGATCATCCCGTCGGAGGCGAAACGCGTGGACCACTACGCGCGGGCTCTCTTCCCGCTCTCGTTCCTCTTCTTCAACGTAGTTTACTGGTCTGTCTACCTGTAGAGAGGGGTGTGGGGGTGTGGGGGCGAGGGGGGGGGTGGAGAGGAGGGAGGGAGGAGGTGCTGGAGGAGGTGGAGGGAGTGGACCGCTACTCACGGGCCCTGTTCCCGCTCTCTTTGCTCGCGTTCAACATCGCCTCCTGGCCCGTCTACCTGCAGAGTGGGAGGGCCAAGCCCGCAGTAGCCACGCCTAGCAGCACCCCCCCGCCCCCTCGCCCCTCCTCCCCTCGCCCCCCCCCCACCTCATCGCGCAACTCCTCGCCCAGATGTGGACAAAGCAGTCGCATGTCATGCAAATGTCCCATCGTCGTCATCGTTGTCGTCATCGTCGTCATCGTCATCGTCGTCATCGTCGTCATCATCGTCGTCGTTTGCTGCGTTGTCTGTGTACGTGTGGATGCGTGCGGCGTGCCGGTGGCCCAGTGGTGCGCGGCGGCTCTCCCCTAGGTCGACTCGGCCCCAAACGGGTGACCCGGTGGAGCGGTGCGTAGGAAGCATCGCCGCCAGGGAGACAAAGGCGGCCTAGCGGCCACAGCGCCCGCAACCCCTCTGCGTGTACCGCGGTGTGCCGGCCTTCGTAGCCGCCGCCGCCGCCGCTGCCGCTCCTCGCTACTAACAGCACTTGCCCCAGACATGCCTATTGAGGCTATACCGGGGGCGAAGCTTTGTCTTTTGTGCGAAATGAGATTGTGTGGGTGCTGGTGGTGGTGGTGATGGTGGTGGTGTCTTAACAGCGTTACGTGCACAGCCGCATTCGCCCGGATTATAAGACGCAGGGGAAAGTGAGATGCACACCCACGTGAACACTTCTCTCCCGCCCTCGCCGCCCCGCGCCCACACCCCCCACCCACCACGTGTTAATAAACTTCTGCTGATTCTCTAGACACTCGCACACAGGCACACCCACCCATACCGGATTGTAAGACACACCCATACCGGATTGTAAGACACACCCTACCAGATTGTAAGACACACCCTACCGGATTGTAAGACACACCCTACTGGATTGTAAGACACACCCTACCAGATTGTAAGACACACCCTACCAGATTATAAGACACACCCTACCAGATTATAAGACACACCCTACCGGATTGTAAGACACACCCTACCGGATTGTAAGACACACCCTACCGGATTGTAAGACACCCTACCGGATTGTAAGACACCCTACCGGATTTTAAGACACACCCTACCGGATTGTAAGATACCCTACCGGATTGTAAGACACCCTACCGGATTGTAAGACACCCTACCGGATTGTAAGACACACCCTACCGGATTGTAAGACACACCCTACCGGATTATAAGACACACCCTACCAGATTATAAGACACACCCTACCGGATTGTAAGACACACCCTACCGGATTGTAAGACACCCTACCGGATTGTAAGACACCCTACCGGATTGTAAGACACACCCTACCGGATTGTAAGACACCCTACCGGATTATAAGACACCCTACCGGATTGTAAGACACCCTACCAGATTGTAAGACACCCTACCAGATTGTAAGACACGCTACCAGATTGTAAGACACACCCTACCAGATTTTAAGACACCCTACCAGATTATAAGACACCCTACCTGATTGTAAGACACCCCACCGGATTATAAGACACCCTACCAGATTGTAAGACACACCCTACCAGATTGTAAGACACCATACCGGATTATAAGACACACCCTACCGGATTGTAAGACACACCCAAATAAGAGTTGTATAAACCCGGACTCGCAGACCGGATTGTAAGACGCATCCAACGATGTGACACTCATCTAAGCAGCTGCGTTGTTTCAAGACGAGCAAAACTTTGGACCGGTTTCCACGTGCAGTGTCTCATCAGCAGCAGCAGCGGCGGCAGCAGCAGCAGGCTCTGCTTGAACCAGTGCTAAAGGTGAGACAACAACAACAACAATATGAATCGTGTCAAATGAATCCTCAACTTCCAACGATCAATCGACGTGTGATCATCCAGCCTGTATCGTAGACTACGAGACTCTCCCTATAGACTTTATCTGTAGATTCTACCTGTAGACTCTACCTCGTAGACTTTACCTGGTAGACTTTACCTGGTAGACTTTACCTGTAGACTCTACCTGTAGACTCTACCTGTAGACTTTACCTGGTAGACTTTACCTGGTAGACTTTACCTGTAGACTTTACCTGTAGACTTTACCTGTATACTTTACCTCGTAGACTTTACCTGTAGACTCTACCTCGTAGACTTTACCTGGTAGACTTTACCTGGTAGACTTTACCTGTAGACTTTACCCGTAGACTTTACCCGTAGACATTACCTGTAGACTTTACCTCGTAGACTTTACCCGTAGACTCTACATGTAGACTTTACCTATAGATTCTACATGTAGACTTTACCTGTAGACTTTACCTGTAGACTCTACATGTAGACATTACCTGTAGACTTTACCCATAGACATTAGCTGTAGACTTTACCTGTAGACTTTACCTCGTAGACTTTACCTGGTAGACTTTACCTGGTAGACTTTACCTGTAGACGTTACCTGTAGACTTTACCCGTAGACTTTACCCGTAGACTTTACCTGTAGACTCTACCTGTAGACTCTACGTGTAGACATTACCTGTAGACTTTACCCGTAGACTTTACCTGTAGACATTACCTGTAGACTTTACCTCGTAGACTTTACCTGTAGACTCTACATGTAGACTTTACCTGTAGATTCTACCTAGAGACTTTACCTGTAGACTCTACCTGTAGACTCTACCTGTAGACTTTACCAGTAGATTCTACCTGTAGACTTTACCTGTAGATTCTACCTGTAGATTCTCCCTGTAGAATTTACCTGTAGACTTTACTTCGTAGACTACGCGTAGACTTTATCTGTAGATTCTACCTGTAGACTTTACCTGTAGACTTTACCTCGTAGATCTACCTGTAGACTTTATCTGTAGATTCTACCTGTAGACTTTACTCGTAGATTCTACCTGTAGACTTTACCTCGTAGACTTTACCTGTAGACTTTACCTGTAGACTTTACCTGTAGATTCTACCTCGTAGACTTTACCTGTAGACTTTACCTCGTAGACTTTACCTGTAGACTCTACCTGCAGACTCTACCTGTAGACTTTCCCTGTAGACTTTACCTGTAGAATCTACCTGTAGACATTACCTGTAGATCCTACCTGTAGATTCTACCTGGTAGACTTTACCTGCAGACTTTACCTGTAGATTCTTCCTGTAGACTTTATCTGTAAACTCTACCTGAAGACTTTACCTGTAGACTTTACCTGTGGACTTTACCTGTAGATTCTACTTGCATACTTTACCTGTAGACTTTACCTGTAGATTCTACCTCGTAGACTTTACCTGTAGACTTTACCCGTAGACTTTACCGGTAGACTTTACCTGTAGATTCTACATGTAGACTTTACCTGTAGATGCTACCTGGTAGACTTTACCTGTAGACTTTACCTGTAGACTTTACATGTAGACTCTACCTGTAGACTTTACCAGTAGATTCTACCTGTAGACATTACCTGTAGATTCTACCTGTAGATTCTACCTGGAAGACTTTACCTGTAGACTTTACCCGTAGACTTTACCTGTAGACTTTACCTGTAGACTTTACCTGCAGACTTTACCTCTAGATACTACCTGCAGACTTTACCTGTAGACTTTACCTGTAGATTCTACCTCGTAGACTTTACCTGTAGACTTTACCTGTAGACTTTACCCGTAGACTTTACCGGTAGACTTTACATGTAGACTTTACCTGTAGACTTTACCTGTAGACTTTACTTCGTAGACTTTACCTGTAGACTTTACCTGTAGACTTTACCTCGTAGACTTTACCTGTAGACTCTACCTCGTAGACTTTACTTGGTAGACTTTACCTGGTAGACTTTACCTGGTAGACTCTACCTGTAGACTCTACCTGTAGACTCTACCTGTAGACTTTACCCGTAGACTTTACCTGTAGACTCTACATGTAGACATTACCTGTAGACTTTACCCGTAGACTTTACCTGTAGACATTACCTGTAGACTTTACCTCGTAGACTTTACCTTTAGAATCTACATGTAGACTTTACCTGTAGATTTTACCTGTAGATCCACCTGTAGACTTTATTTGTAGATTCTACCTGCGGACTTTACCTGTAGATTCTACCTGTAGACTTTACCTCGTAGACTTTACCTGTAGACTTTACCTGTAGACTTTACCTGTAAACTCTACCTGCAGACTTTACCTGTAGACTTTACCTGTAGACTTTACCTGTAGATTCTACCTCGTAGACTTTACCTGTAGACTTTACCTGTAGACTTTACCGGTAGACTTTACCTGTAAATTCTACATGTAGACTTTACCTGTAGATGCTACCTGGTAGACTTTACCTGTAGACTTTACATGTAGACTCTACATGTAAACTCTACCTGTAGACTTTACCAGTAGATTCTACCTGTAGACATTACCTGTAGATTCTACCTGTAGATTCTACCTGGTAGACACCTGTAGACTTTACCCGTAGACTTTACCTGTAGACTTTACCTGTAGACTTTACTTCCAGACTTTACCTGTAGATTCTTCCTGTAGACTCTACCTGCAGACTTTACCTGTAGACTTTACCTGTGGACTTTACCTCTAGATTCTACCTGCAGACTTTACCTGTAGACTTCACCTGTAGATTCTACCTCGTAGACTTTACCCGTAGACTTTACCCGTAGACTTTACATGTAGACTTTTCCTGAAGATTCTACATGTAGACTTTACCTGTAGATGCTACCTGGTAGACTTTACCTGGTGACTTTACATGTAGACTCTACATGTAGACGCTACCTGTAGACTTTACCTGTAGACTTTAACTGTAGACTTTACCAGTAGATTCTACCTGGTAGACTCTACCTGTAGACTTTACCTGTAGACTTTACTTGTAGACTCTACCTGTAGACATTACCTGTAGACTTTACCTCGTAGACTTTACCTTTAGAATCTACATGTAGACTTTACCTGTAGATTTTACCTGTAGATCCACCTGTAGACT